ATTGGGAACCAGGGTATTTTCAGTTTTTCTTCTGTATCCTGATAACTTCATGGATGGCCTATTGATTCTTGTTGGGGGTTTGGGAGTCCTTCTGAGGGCCAAGGTTTTTAGCAAGTACTTCCTTTGCAACCTGCGGTAGTTATTCTGTCGAGTATTGCAGATCCAATGAGGGTTGCAGGTGGGGATAGGCATGGGGAGGGATCCATGGGTGCTATGGATATTCAAGCATTGACGGTGGTGAACCCTCGAGGAAAAGGAGTTCTTGAGGACTTTAATCCTACTGGAGAACACTTCCCCGTGCCTGAAGGGGGTTTGCTTCTGGGTTCTTTGATTCACAATGACAATTATTATTTTTATTGGTTTAATTTTGAGATTTATTGGCCCAAACTGATAATTTACATATTGGAACCGGCTATTGGGACAAATATAATTAAAAAAAGGTTCTACGATTTTGAATATTCTTTATATTTTATACCTACATACACACAAAACTTAAAATGTGAAATATATATGAAAAATCCAATGTATCATGCAAAAAATTATATATTCACATCAAAATTGAAAGTATGTTATGATATAGGGCCAAGTGTATAAAACACCATTAAAATATGTTTACATTACCTATTATATCCCTCACGGACAAAAAATACCCCTAAAGTTTCAATTTGGTGCAAATAGGTTCTTCTAACAAATTTAAACTCTAAGTTGACTAAACTACCATTACTTAACCATTTTATAGAATATAAAAAAATAAATAATTATGTAAAATGGCCAAAAATAACACTATCAGAGAACGTCCCTAACGTGCAAAAAACAACCCCAACGTTTCAATTCCGTGCAAATAGGTCCATATGACAAATTTAAACCATAAATTAACTAAATTACACTTACTGAACCATTTTATAAAATATATAAAAATAAATAATTTTGTAAAATGACACTATTGGAGGACACAGGCAATGGACAAGTAAAGATAAAAATAGAAATTAAAATTAAAATTATAAATGAAAAGTAAAGATACAAATAAAAAATAAAAAACAAAAATAAAATGCAAACTATATAAAATAAATATGTTCCAAACATTGAAAACCAGATCACAAAATTCAAATCCTTGTTCTGCAAATTTTCAAAGTTAAAAAAAAAAAAAAAAAAAAATGGTTTAGATATATATATATAGAGAGAGAGAGAGAGAGAGAAAAAAAAATTCAAAAAAAAAATATATATATATAAGATAATGTGCACGTCCCCTAAACTATAAGATTAGTAGCATATATACTCCTTTGATATTTTCGGAAGAGTAAAAGAACAAAACAAGTATTACAATACTAATTTATGTCAAATGGGGTATTTTTGCACAATGTGAAAAGATTAGAGGTGTTTTTTTTACACTTTTTTAAATAGAGGTAAAAGTGCTACACGGATTGTATTTTAGGGGTATTTTTTACACTTGTTCCTATTATATATGGATAAATATTATGTTTCTCAATAAAAGGTTAGTTTTTTTTTTTAACCTCCAACCAATAATTATACCATAATTAATGATGTTTAAACTTTTAGAATTAAAGTCAAATCATTCGGTCACAAAATCAAATTAAAACTGGAAAACTTGATACAATTGACTAGTTTTGACCGGCTGATGTGACTCTAATTCTAAAAGTTTAAGGGTTAATTTCACCTACACCCCCTGATGTTTGCTTATATTCCACTTACACATTCCACCTACCTTCCTTGAGATTTTGATTTATGTAGCAACTTACCCCCTGCCGTTAAGTAACTTACGGTGTTAGCATTAACAAATCAGTTCAAGGTCAATTTTACCCTTCCAATACTTGAAATGACATTTTTAACCTTATTGACCAATGCAAATTTACAAAATTACCCTTAAGATAGTTCTGTCGGTGACAACCCAAACCAAGATAGTTCCTGCTTGTTGTAGCCGAGAATTTTCAAGTTTCAACAGATGGATAACTCTTGGCCATGAGGTACACAAGCTTGGAGATGAAGGTGGCGACTGTTGTAGAGCTGATCCAGTGGCGATGGATCTAGCAAAAGCAGGGAGGAGTTGGCGGTTTGTGAGGATGTTGATGGCGCCGGCAAAGAGGGAGATGGCTGGGTCCGATCTGGCTGTTGAAGATAACGGGCTGTGAGGATGTTGATGGTGGCGCCAGCGAAAAGGGAGATGGCTTACTGTGAGGATGTTGATGGCGCTGGCGAAGAGGGAGATGGCTGGCTCCGATCCGGCTATTGAAGATGACGGGCTGTGAGGATGTTGATTGCAGCGCCGGCGAAGATGGAGATGGCTTACTATGAGGATGTTGATGGCGCCGGCGAAAACTAAGTTCGGGGCTGTGATGTCCGGCAGCAGTGAGACTGAGTTCGACGAGATGGATTCGGCTGAGCCAAGGCAATAAAAGAAGAGAGAAAAGTTTTAAAACTTCACACGGTGGACTATAATGGTACAGACTATTGGGGTACGGTGCTTCTTAATCATCCGGCAACATTCGATACATAAATACGGAAACGAAAAAGGAGCTGATTGAAGATATTGAGTTGTTCATAAATGGGAAGAAGTATTACAGAATAGTTGGTAGGGCTTGGAAGCGTGGGTATTTGTTGTACGGACCACTCGGTACAGGGAAGTCGAGTTTGGTTGCAGCCATGGCTAATTACTCGAAGTTTGATGTGTATGACTTGGACTTGAGAGAAGTTCAATGCAATTCAGATCTGAGGAGGCTGTTGATCGGCACGACAGACCGGTCCATACTGGTGATCGAAGACATTGACTGTAATGTTGGGTTGCAGAATCGAGAGTTTGGGGATGGAACTTAAGATGATAAGATTACATTGTCCGGGTTACTCAACTTTATTGATGGATTGTGGTCGAGCCGATGGTTGGATATTGGGGATGATAAGAGCTTATAGATTTTGATTTTTACTGAATTTAAGGGAATGTTAGCTTGGATTGAAAATTTCTTGTGGAGACATTTTATCGGTTTTCAGATAGACGATGTGCAACCATGGACGACACGAGTTCTTATCATAGCTGCTGTCTTCCGTTGCGAGCTTCACCTAACTGAACTGAACTTCACCGGACTTGGGATTGCCATCCGACTTGGGTGAAGCAATCTTCAGAGGTGAAGAGATCTTCGTCGTCCGACTTGGTCACCGGCGTTTACATAATGTGTCTCTGTGTAGAGAGAGAGATAGAGGTCATTTAAGTCTTTTTATTTAAGTTATAATTTTTAATATATAATTTATGGGCAAAAAAGTAAAATCACACATTTCTGTTAGAAAACTAAACGGTGGTTACTGACAGGGGGTGTAGGTGGAATTATGAAACGTAGAGGGGGTGTAAGTAAAATATAAACAAACGTGAGGGGGTGTAGGTGGAATTAACCCAAAGTTTAAACATGTTTTAAAGTATTTTTCAAAATACTGTACAAAAAAATACTTATTTTCTTTAGAGTTAAAATAAAAATGCAAAACCAAAACACGTACCAACACAGACCCTACTCGGCTAAAAATAAAATAATATTCCTGTGCAGAGAAATAAACAATGTTTATGATCAGTCTCCACATCCTCAATGGCAATAGGCTTAGTGCCATTTGTACTAATAATTTATTTATTTACGGTACATATATGTATTAATTACTTGAGTAAATTATACCCATTTTTTTAAAAAAATTGAGTAATTTATACACCGGTAGAGTATTTAGCCTTTATTACTTTGACTTCTTCAGAAATTTGGCGTGAAAGCTCAACGACACCCATTGTTGGTAATGAAAATTCAAAAAATTACCCAATTTTATATTATTAAATTTTGTTAATGCATTTGATTAGTTGTTTTGTAAGGTTGGATTAGGGTACTTTTTTTATTAAAAAAAAAAAAAAGAGAGTAAAATAATAGGTCACGAGATGGGGAAAAAAAAACTTAATAGGGTCTTTTTAGTTTGACATATTGTTTATGTTAAATTATATAAAGATATAAAAGATATTTCATACTTTTAAAGAAAGTGAAAGTAATTCATTTTAGAAAAAGTCAAAGTAATTCATGATAGTTAGGGGTAATTTATCTAATCACTTTGCACACAGGATAAACTGACATTAGTAGGTTACAAATTACAAGTTACAAACTATCCCTTTATATGGCAATCAAGCTAAATAGGAAAATATAAAATGAATAGCACAATGAATCATGAGTTCAAATTAAATGGATACGTTCCAGGAATCCGGCCGTCAAATTAAATAGAAATTAGATGACAATCAAGCTTAGTATGAAAATATGGAAGGATTAAGGCCTAAGTATTTGGTAATACTTTGAGCACTGGTTCTTTTTTTTTGTTAAATTTTTTTTTTTTAAAATGGTAATAAAATTCGTTTGGTAACTTTATTTTGATTTTTCACATTTCAAAACTTTTGAAAATTAGTTGCCATTTCATTCACAATTTTCAAACTTCAAAATGAAGCTTTAGTTTTTTCCTTTTGTTTTCAAATACTATTATGCTACGTTTGGTGTGAATTAATGGAATGCTTATTCCAACCAATAATGTGGGAATGACCATTCAATTAGAACGAAAATCCATTATTGAGAATTAAAATCCATTCAACAACTAAACAAGTAAATTTTTTTTAAAAATCAAGTTCACAAATGACCCTCATACTCCAAGTCCCAAAACCACAACCACCACCTTCCACCATAGCTATCGCCGACTTTCATCATCGCTACCACCTCTATTGCCTTCCACCACTGTTATTGTCACTGTCACTGCCACCGCCACCACCACCATTGTCAACACCTTCAACCAACACATTGCCGCCACCTCCACTACTTTTAGCCACCGCCACCTCCATTGTGGTCACTACCGTCACCGACTTCCACCATATTCTGCCACTACCACCTTCAATCACCGCTACTTCCACTTCCTTCCACTACTGTAATTGCCACCACCACTACTTTCCACCATTGTAATTTCCACCATTGCCACCCCTGCTGTCACTGTCACCACCGCCGTTGTTGCCTTTCACCATTAGCACCGCCGTAGCTACCTTTCACCACCATCACACCGTCGCCGCCTCCATTACCTTCCACTGCCACCGACTTCCATCGCCACCACCACCTTCCGTTGCCACCTCCACCTCTACCACTAACGCCACCTCCACCAACACCGCCGCCGCCACCTCCACCTCTACCTCTACCGCTCACACCACCTCCACCTCCACCACCACTGATGAGTATTGAAAAGTGCGCATTTAAACCCGTTAAGCTTAAGCATTCTAGTACCTTTATCTATCTTACTTTGCCGTTTTAGACTTATTACGTGTTATTTATATTTTCAGGCGCTAATCCCAAAATTGAGCTAACTCAGCCAAATAAGAGCTTAATTGAAGCAATCCTGAGATAAACCAAATGAGGGAGCAAAATGGAGAAAGAAAGGAGCAAAAAGGAATCAAAGTTGTGCAGCTAAAAAGTTCGATCGATCGAACATCTATGATCGATCACAGTACTTCTCGATAGATCCAACCTTGGCCTTTACTGAAATTCCAAGTTCGATCGATCCAACATCACATTCGATCGATCGAACCCTATTTTGTCCTATTCAAATGATTGATCTTATCCACAGTTGTACGCCTACCAACCACTTTTGTCCTTTTCCCCATAAATATCTTCGAAATATCTTAGCCTTGTCCTTATCCGGAGGAGTCAGACCACTTCGATCGATCCAAGATGCAGTTCGATCGATCGAACCCCAGTTCGATCGATCGAACTTCCTCCAGCGAGAAAAAGTTAAAGTCCAGCTCATTAATTCCGTCCTTCACCCAATCATTGGAGAATATGCCTTGCACGACCACAGCTCATCATAGGGTGTATTTGACCTACCTATATAAGGAATATGATACACTTTTTGGAGGGGAGTATAGAGTCTCTTGTCACACATTGAAAATCATCTTGGAGGCTATTCTTGGAGAGGAGGAAGGAGGGAAGCTAGAGTACCATTGGAGGAGATCTTTACCAACAAGGAGCAGCCATGGAGTTAGCCCTTGAGGGTTGGATCATCACTACCATGAGTGGCTAGACATCCTCTTGGGGCTAGAGTTAGCCCCAATCATGCTTTCTATACTCTAATCTTGTGTATTATTGAGGGATTAGTGTTGTATGATACATCTTGATATTCATGTATATATAAATCTTGATTATTTCATGGTTTGTATGGTTTAATGCTTCCAATTGACTATTCTATTCTACCCATATGTCTATGTATGCTAGAGTAGGATATTCATGTGCTTATCTCTAGATTTAGTGTTTTTAATGCATGTCTATGTGTATTGATGCAATAGATCTAGAGATTATCAAGATGATATGCTTAATGAATGCTATTTTGGTTCATTTGATGGTTTATGCCTATTCTTGATGGCTTGTGCCTCTCCCCTAGTCTAGATAGCTTTATTTTCATGCTAGTAGTGTAGATTTAGTGTAGTGGTAGTATAAAGTTAGATGGGAGGACAATCTACTCTTGATGTTTGATGTTCCATGCTTGTGAGTCCAAATGGCATATTCCTCTAATATTGTGTTGTATGTGGATTGTGAGCTTAATGAATAGTTATGATATGTTGTATCTTTCACATGTGTTTAGACAATTTATTCCTCTCCCAATAGATAAATTTTGGCCTCTCACATGATGTTTAGATAATGCATGTTTAACTAAGTCATCCTTATGGATTGCTTGGACTATGAGCTTAATGAAAGGTTCAATGACTTGATTTGATATTTTGTTCTCTTCACATGATGTATAGACAATATATACCTCTACCAATAGATGTATTGTGGCCTCACACATGTTGATTGAGACAATTTGCACTTGTTAAGTCACCCTTACCAATTGAATGTCTTTTACACACACAACATTGTCGCAACACATTCATTTCCCTCATTAGTCACTTGATTATGGTTTGGAATAGTATTGTTTGGTGGTGATCTCTACACCCCAAGACCTTTCCTTCCTACTTACTCTTTATCTTATTGCATTTTAATTAATTCTTTTCTAGAAATAATCAACCAACCCAATTTTCTTTTGCAATCATTTGGTACGCTAGAGTCGAAGTTGAAATTCCAACACGTATAATCCCTTGGGACGATCCCTACTCACTCTTGCTACGTTAGTAGTAGTGTTGGTAGTGGTTTTTATAAATTTAAATTTGACATAAAAGGCTTTTTTTGAACCACACATTCACTACATTCAGTTTGGCGTATTGGAACGGCCGTCGTCAGATTTTGGCGCCGTTGCCGGGGTTTAACGGTTTTGTTGGAATTAAACTAGACAATAGTGTTCATTAGATTGCTTCTATTTTTATTTTATTTTCCATTGTATATTCTTTTCTCTTGATTCTCATTATTATTTGTTCAATTAGGTACTTGACTACAAGGAAGGCGAACTTTGGAACTTAAAGCAATCATTAGAGCTTAAAAGCTAAATTTGGAGTTGAAGTGTTAAAGGACCATTGTGACCAATTCTTGACTCTCTTGTATTTTAATTATTTCACTTCTTTATATGCTTGTGATAGCCCTTATTGAGGCTCATTTTATTGCTAAATTTTTGTCCAAGCATAGGCCCTTGTTGAGGCCAATTTTTTCTTGCATTTGGGTTTTAATTGTGAATGGAGGAATTGTTTGATCCAAGTTTGGGGGGGAATTACATCCCTTCACCTTATGCCCCTCCATCACATTTTAATCCTTATGAGATTGAGTCCAATTCATTTCATGCATCATCTTATTATGGACTTGATCACTCATTTAATCCTTTTTATGACTATTGCCCTCCACCACCATTTTATGATGAATCAATTCCACCACCTTCTAAGTACTCACTCGGATTTGAAGAAAAAGTGTTAGCTTTACTTGATGTGCATATTTCACACACTTCACTTATTAATTCTCATTCTCAAACTTTAGCCAACTTAGAAGCTCAAGTTGAGCAAATTGCAAGTACTCTTTCTCATCAAGAGGAGGAGGAAGAGGCAAATGAAAAAATGGCAAGAACTTCAATGTATATAGATGGGGATGATAAGAGTGAGGAGAATGAAACAAGTGAACTAATGCCTAGCACTCTATCTTGTATAAAGGATGAAGTGGCAAGTGAGTTAGTGGCTAATCCAATAGAACATAACATGATTAATGAGGACTTTCCTTGTTTTGATTATGATTTTATCTATGATATGGCTACTCTAGAGAGTGAGGAGATGTTGACCACACTTGAGGTAGGAGAGAAGGAGGATGAACTTGTTGAAGAGGGCCTTCCTTCTATTATCTCTAATGACCTTCTTGAGGAATGTCTTTTGGAAATGTATAAAAATTGTGGTTTTGACTCTAAAAGCTCTAAAAATGAAATAAACTCTCTAATGGACTCCTTAGCTTACTTAGAAGGTGAGGAAATGGTAATTTATGAGGAGGAGAAGAGGGATGAAGAGAATGTGTTTCTTATTAATCCAATTGAGTCTTTGAAAGACAATGCCTCACCAATTATCAATGTGGATGATCATTTGAATGTGTTTCAAGAACACAACAAAGAGGCAAGCCTAACCATGATTGATTTTGTTTTCAAGACCGTGGATGAAAGGAACAGTATCATCTCTTTTATTTCTTTTCAAGTCATTCTTTTGGAGGATGATTTTATTGTCGTAAGTGGGACATTAAATGAGAAAAGTGAAAAGAGGGTCAATAAGGATGTTTCATATCCAGTTTTTAATTCATTTGATTAGTAAGTTGACCTAACGTCTTGCTAGAGACGTTAAACACTAGTATTCATAGAGTTTCACAACTCTATTCCTCCCTCATTTCTATCTTGCATTTTGATTCTTACGAAGTCTAGATACTGTTTTTGTGGTTCATATGCATTGGAAGGAACTGAGTAAGGGATTGCATGAGCATTCAAGTCATTTTGAACATTTAGGCATAATTTCGATCGATCCAAGTTTTGGTTCGATCGATCGAACTTTGGTTCGATCGATCCAACTATGGACTCGATCGATCCAGCTCTCATTTTGCACCCAACACTTAGAAAAATTTTGGACCTGCATCCAAACTCCAAAATGCATGCTCTCGGGATCTCCAAATTTTCAAAAGTTCGATCGATCGTAAACCATTTCGATCGATCCAACATGTGGTTCGATCGATCATGAGTCCCAACACTTAGAAAAATTTTGGACCTGCATCCAAATTCCAAAATGTATGCTCTCGGGACTTTTCAAAAATTTTCATGTTCGATCGATCGAATTCCAAGTTCGATCGATCCAAGGTTCCAACACATATCAACTCTTGAACCCTTAAACTTGTACATTCTTTATCCTCTTCGATTGATCAAAATCTTTCTTCGATCGATCGAAATTTGCATCTCATTAATTTAATTCCCTTTAATTTTTCAAAATTTATTCTAAAAAAAAAAAAAATGCCATTAAGAGTGGAGACCTAAGTTCGATCGATCGAACTCCATCTTCGATCGATCGAACTCTGCATATCGTGTTTTTAAAAATATAACCGAGTTGGATCGATCACTTTGGATCGATCCAACTTCAAAAGGAAACCAAACCCTAGTCTCCCTCTTCTCTCAATCTCATCTCAATCCGGCCAACCTCCATTCCAATCATCTTCCCCATCTCCGGCGAGCCAATTCCGGCAAGGCAGATGTAGTCGCCATGCCATCACCGCAGCCACCTCTACCGGCTCAGCGCCGTGACCAGTTGCTGCCGAGATATGCAGCTATGACCGTGGCTCAGGAGTCATACTTCGATACTGAGTACTTCTCTGAGTCTATCCTGACCCGGTCTGGCTATCAGGATATCATGTAGCGTGGCCTCTCAGCCATCTTTGCCCCAGTCACCGGCCTTGTATACCCGCGACTGGTGCGGCTATTCTTTCAGCATCTCCGGCCCTCGCCACGATCTACCGCACAGATGATCACTACACTGGACGGCCACGAGATTGTCATCACAGTTAACACTCTGGCCCGTGCTTGCCGGTGCCCACATCGGTGTCCACCTGAGCTTGCAGAGACATACCCGAGGCTGCATAGGCCTTCATTTTCTCACATGGCTGTCTCCTTGACAGGCCATCATGCCGGTGGTCAGACATTCGCCACCAGGACCTTCTTGCTTGACGACCTCTGGTTCATTGACACAGTTATTTTCCAGAACATTTACATGGCGGGCCACAAGATCCAGAGGCGTCATGACTACTTGACAGCTCTTTACGCTTTTTACACGGGCTGCTGGGTATCTATCCCAGTCCTCATCTGGAGCGTGATGAGGTTGTTGTATGATTCTTTCATATCCAGGAAGGACCCTAAGCGGTCCAAGGTCCTGCCTTTCGGACACCTCATCACGCAGATCCTTCTTGACCAGCGCTACAGAGTGCCCCCAGATGATGAGCCCCTTGCACGGTCCAGCTTCTATAGGAGGAGCGACTGGAATAAGAGCTACAATGCTCTTATTCAGAGTCTTCAGGAGCCAGCTGTAGAGGCAGCAGCTGAACTAGAGGAGGAGGAGGCAGCCCAGGCACAGCCGGCACCTCCAGCAGCAGCAGATATCGCAGCGGACGACACACCAGTCGGTTCGGCTACCGATCGCATGGACATTGACCTGGAGCGACCTGCGGAGGAGTATGCCGATGCTGCAGATGATGCTGATGCCGATGATACCAGTGATAGAGCCGCTGCTCAGGAGCGAGTTCGGGAGTCTTCTTCAGAGGCATCTCTGCCCGAGTCTCCAGTTCCCACTCCCGGTTTCGGAGCACGCTTGCAGACATTGGAGGAGGACGTAGCAGCCATGTGAGCCGACATCACTGCCCACCGAGCTGAGTTCACCTCTTTCAGGGCGGATGTCATGGCTTGCTTTGCCGATCTCTCCAGCCGACTCCATGCACCTGCACCCGCACCTGCACCTCCAGCCACTGCAGATCTCCACGATCAGGCCTCCTGAGACTTCACCTCCAGTTGTTCTATGCTTTCATTTCTTTTATTCTGGATCTGTATTATACTGTCACTGTTACTGTATTATACTTTGCGGCCGGTCTGTCGGCTTTATTATTTTATTGATGTACCTGCACTTTATATTCTCTATATATTACTTTTTGATTATGGATGTCTCTTAGTATCTCATATTTGTATGTTTGACTCCATCAGGTACACCACAGTGACTTCAGTGAGAGAGTGCTGCCCAATTTTTCAGGACCACTCTTACACCCCTCTCTCTATTCTCTATTTATCCCATTTTACACTTGCATGTCCACTGTGCACTGATTATCCTATCTTGTTATCTAATGAGTTTATCCGAGTGCAAACTTTTCAGGACCATAGTTTATCCCAAGTTTGGGGGGGCCATGCCACCCACTTTGGATACTTCTATCCCGATCATTCATGTCTAAAGCACTGGTATACTCTTTCCTTTGTTCTCTTCACACATTGAGGACAATGTGCAGTTTAAGTTTGGGGGTATTGGTGTATGTTTCAGTGTTACTTTAAAATTCAAAATTTTGAGCATGTCTTGTGTATTTGAGGGATATTTCTATACTTGGTCCATTTTTAGCTATGATTTTGATCTTTTGAAGACTATATTGCTTAAAATTTAAAAATTGCTTGACTTGAGAGTCCAATACTCCTTGTATGCCTTGAGGATGCCATTTAGGAGTAAATTTTTCAAAAGATTGATATCTTGCTTGCATTTGTAGTCCACATCATCCTGAATTTGTGATTGTTTTGAGATTCATTCTAGGATTCTACACTAGCACCGGTGCACACTAGCATTCATTTGTGGGGTACATGCTTTATTGATTATTGAATTGGTTATATCCCAATTGGGCTAGTAGTGCATTGAAAGCTTTCATTCTTGATAAAGGTGGATAACAACCCCTTTTCATTGAGTAGCCGGGATTCTTGCCTCATTAAGCAGTGAACTTTTCGCGCCGAAAGGTGGAGGGCCCAAACTCTAGGTTAATAATTGAATAGAAAAAAAAAAAAAAAGAAGAAGTTGCAAAAAGCAATAAAAGTGAGGACTTCTCCCAAAAGGTGAGAAGTGGGAAATGATTAGATGGTTGTTGTCTTGATTTGTAGCCTAGTTGATTTGAGTTTGTAAGTCCGTAGGGGTGTCTTAACGCCTAATGCCCTAAAGCCATCTGGTTTGGGAGTCATTGACCTAAAGCTCGCTACATGAATCTTCTAGAAAGCTTAAGAGATCAACACATTGCACAATACTTCCATCTTTGATCCTCAATAAAAAATAAAAAATAAAAAGAAAAAAAAAATAGAGTGAAAAGAATAAGCGCACTTAGAACAATAAAGCTTTAATAAAAGGTCCACTCTCTTATCTTGATGATCGGTACTAGATTTGTGTGCTAGTTTGAGGGTAAGGATGTGATTACTTCTCTAGTTAGCTAAGATAGCAACACACTTGATGCCGGACCTCTCACGTGGATTCTAGACTTGTTTCGATTTTCATGATCATTTTCTTGATGTGTGGAGGACCATGCTTGTTTGCTTGATATTGAAATTTTGGGAGATTGCTTAGAAATGGTTGAAAATTTGCATACTTGAGGTAGTTTTCTCCCAATGTTTGTTTGCAATATTGGTGCCTCTTTTGAAAGAATGAGCTTAATGTTTGTGGGTACTATTTTTGGAAACCCTCACGAGACTTTACTCGTCCACTAGGGGTAACCTAGGGGTTTAAAAGGCTTGTTGCATATGCTAAATGCAATCGTGTTCCCTACGAAAGTGGCGCAATCATTTTACTTGCTTTCCAGTTTATACTTGTTTAGTTGTTCATTTCATTCATTTACTTCTTAGTTCATTGAGCAATATTTAAGTTTGGGAGTGTGATGAGCACTGAAAAGTGCGCATTTAAACCCGTTAAGCTTAAACATTCTAGTACCTTTATCTATCTTACTTTGCCGTTCTAGACTTATTACGTGTTATTTATATTTTCAGGCACTAATCCCAAAATTGAGCTAACTCAGCCAAATAAGAGCTTAATTGAAGCAATCCTGAGATAAACCAAATGAGGGAGCAAAGTGGAGAAAGAAAGGAGCAAAAAGGAATCAAAGTTGTGCAGCTGAAAAGTTCGATCGATCCAACTTAGAGTTCGATCGATCGAACATCTATGATCGATCATAGTACTTCTCGATAGATCCAACCTTGGCCTTTGCTGAAATTCCAAGTTCGATCGATCCAACATCACCATTCATCAATTGAACCCTATTTTGTCCTATTCAAATGATTGATCTTATCCACAGTTGTACGCCTACTAACCACTTTTGTCCTTTTCCCCATAAATATCTTCGAAATATCTCAGCCTTATCCTTATCCGGAGGAGTCAGACCACTTCGATCGATCGAACCCATCTTCGATCGATCCAAGTTAAGGTTCGATCGATCGAACTTCCTCCAGCGAGAAAAAGTTAAAGTCCAGCTCATTAATTCCGTCCTTCACCCAATCATTGGAGAATATGCCTTGCACGACCACAGCTCATCATAGGGTGTATTTGACCTACCTATATAAGGAATATGATACACTTTTTGGAGGGGAGTCTAGAGTCTCTTGTCACACATTGAAAATCATCTTGGAGGCTATTCTTGGAGAGGAGGAAGGAGGGAAGCTAGAGCACCGTTGGAGGAGATCTTCACCAACAAGGAGCAGCCATGGAGTTAGCCCTTGAGGGTTGGATCATCACTACCATGAGTGGCTAGACATCCTCTTAGGGCTAGAGTTAGCCCCAAGCATGCTTTCTATACTCTAATCTTGTGTATTATTGAGGGATTAGTGTTGTATGATACATCTTGATATTCATGTATATATAAATCTTGATTATTTCATGGTTTGTATTGTTTAATGCTTCAAATTGACTATTCTATTCTACCCATATGTCTATATATGCTAGAGTAGGATATTCATGTGCTTATCTCTAGATTTAGTGTTTTTAATGCATGTCTATGTGTATTGATGCAATAGATCTAGAGATTACCAAGATGATATGCTTAATGAATGCTATTTTGGTTCATTTGATGGTTTATGCCTATTCTTGATGGCTTGTGCCTCTCCCCTAGTCTAGATAGCTTTATTTTCATGCTAGTAGTGTAGATTTAGTGTAGTGGTAGTATAAAGTTAGATGGGAGGACAATCTACTCTTGATGTTTAATGTTCCATGCTTGTGAGTCCAAATGGCATATTCCTCTAATATTGTGTTGTATGTGGATTGTGAGCTTAATGAATGATTAATGACTAGTTATGATATGTTGTATCTTTCACATGTGTTTAGACAATTTATTCCTCTCCCAATAGATAAATTTTGGCCTCTCACATGATGTTTAGATAATGCATGTTTAACTAAGTCATCCTTATGGATTGCTTGGACTATGAGCTTAATGAAATGTTCAATGACTTGATTTGATATTTTGTTCTCTTCACATGATGTATAGACAATATATTCCTCTACCAATAGATGTATTGTGGCCTCACACATGTTGATTGAGACAATTTGCACTTGTTGAGTCACCCTTACCAATTGAATGTCTTTTACACACACAACATTGTCGCAGCACATTCATTTCCCTCATTAGTCACTTGATTATGGTTTGGAATAGTATTGTTTGGTGGTGATCTCTACACCCCAAGACCTTTCCTTCCTACTTACTCTTTATCTTATTGCATTTTAATTAATTCTTTTCTAGAAATAATCAACCAACCCAATTTTCTTTTGCAATCATTTGGTACGCTAGAGTCGAAGTTGAAATTCCAACACGTATAATCCCTTGGGACGATCCCTACTCACTCTTGTTACGTTAGTAGTAGTGTTGGTAGTGGTTTTTATAAATTTAAATTTGACATAAAAGGTTTTTCTTGAACCACACATTCACTACATTCAGTTTGGCGTATTGGAACGGCCGTCGTCAACCACCGCCGTCGCCACCTCCATCTCTACTACCACCGACTTCTATCACCACTGCCTCCGCTGCCACCTTCACAACTACCGCCACCGACTTCTATCACCGTCGCTGCCGCCAGCTCCACCTCCACATCCATATCCATTTCTACCGCCACCGATTTTCATCATCACTACCGCTTTCCACCACTGTTACAGCTACCTCCACCGCCATCGACTTCCACCGCCACCACATCCACTGCCGTCTTTCACCACCACCATACCATCACCTCCACTACTTTTCACCACCGCCACCTGCCCCACTGTTGTTTTTTTACACCACTACCACATCACTGCCACCACCACTATCTTCCACCATCATCCCCACTGACACCACTGGCGCCTTCCACTATTACCACCACCGCCATTACCACTGTCTTTTTACTAACACCTTACTACCTTCTGCCACCATCGCTTTCCATCACCACCACCGCTTTCCACCTACACCACCATCGCCACCACCATTAACCGTACCACTATTTAAAAAAAATAAAAAATTAAAGAAGAATGTTATTTTGTCAATTAAAATTATTTGTCATTAAGAAATGTATTTTGAAAAATTCATTTTTTTCTAAATTTAACATTAGGCCATTCTTATAGATTTTATATTTGCAACCAAACAATATAATGAGAATGACCATTCCCTTACATTCCATTTCATTATCTCTTGCATTCCATTCCATTCCATTCCATTATTGCACACCAATTACAACATTATTTTACCATTTTCAAAACCAGAATCAAATAATTAGAGAAATGTTATTTCATTAATTTTCACAATTAGAGAAATATTATTTTATTATTTTTCAATCATACTTAATAGTAAATAAAATTTTAAAAATATTTGACTATACGTAAAATAATAAAAAATGTTATTGTATTATTTTTCAATTATACTAGAATCTTATATAAAATATTATTTTATTATATTTCAGAAGGATAGTTAGAGAAATGTTATTTTATTATTTTTCACTAGAGAAATATTATTTTATCATTTTTCAATTATACTCGAATAGTAAAATAAAAAATATTATTTTATTAAATTTCAATTATACTCTAATAGTAAATAAAATATTATTTTATTAAATAAAATAAAAATTATTATTTAATTATACTCGAATAGTAAATAAAATAAAAAATAATATTTTATTAGTAAGTAAAATATTATTTTATTATTTTTCAATTATAGTCAAATACTAAAGGATTTAATTTAAAAAAAAAAAAATTTACCAAGCATGTTTTTGTTTTGACAGAAATAATAGTACCAGTTTTTCCAAACATGCCCAAATTTAATAATTTTGTTAAGAAAATTATAACTAAATCAAGTGAAAAAAACAAAAGAGGATTAAAAAAAAAGAAAAAAGGAAAGTGAAGAATATTTTATAAATTTAAAATGAAAAGAATATTTTAGAAATTTTCGTTCATTTTTCTCCCTCACTCCGTCGCCCCAATCAATGTCACAAGGACACATCGGCGTCTGTCACCGCTCCCTCCGCCCTGTACGGCTAAACTCCTTTTATGTTTTCCTATTCCTTTAAACTATTACTGTATATTGTATGATACATGTATGCAGAGTTATATATATATATATATGTTCCTGTAATGAACAAATGTCATTATTATACATGCAGAGCCCTAATTACTGTGAACTATGGGACTAATTTTTAATATGTCTGAAATTATTAGTCCTACTTAATTGGGATCACGATCACGATCACGATCAGGAGCCAAGTGAATACGTTGGGTTGAAGTCGAAGTGTGAAGCGGCAAAGAAATGAAGGCGGGGGGCGCCGCGAAGCTGATAGTGGATGCGCTGCTGCAACGCTTCCTTCCTCTTGCAAGGCGACGCATCGAAACTGCCCAAGCACAGGTAAGTTCATCCTCTTCCTTCGTGCCAACTGTAAATTGTATTGAGCTTTGTCACTGGATTTGATTCGGAAATATAGCTATGCTAAATCAGACAATATTGCTTTTAGTTTGAAACTTTTCTTATGGGGTTTGTTTGGTCAAAGGTAGAATTTACTTTCAATTATAAATTTAGGTAAGTAGAAAGAAACTCAAGCAATTGAATTGTAATTTCAAGTGCCCAGTTCGGCAAAAACAATAGCAGCTTGATTGAGTTAAACTCATATTTCATGAAACATTTGTTTTGATTGCTAAAACCAATCCACTAAAGGTGCCAAGAGAGTGCCAACATTGCATTTCAATTTGCGAAAGGTGAATTGCATTGAGAAGAACAGATTATTTTGAAATCTCTGATCATTCAACGTAGTCGGCCAAAGAACTTCTCAATAGTACTCCTGGATGTATAACTTACAATCACCATTCAATATGTTCAAACAACGGCATATTCAGGATCAAACACCTATTTTACATGATTAACTATATGTATGTATATATATGAAAACGGAAACCATCATTTTTATTAAGTTTGTTCTCGATCAATGTTTTCATGTGTTGGAACTACGTAACCTTCTTGACGGGGATTAGTGGTTAAATGGCTGTGGAAGTATTTAGTAGGGCAAATAGTTTGTAGAGGAGAGCAGTGGAGAGAAAATAGATTGTTGGGAGGGGAATTTGTGATTTTCACAGATTACCATCTTGTATGGAGTGGGTTAATGGAAGACCATAAGCTTGAGATGGCTGGATCTCTAGAAGGTTGTGGCTGTAATGAACAATGGTTAAATTCTGGCATGGACTGGTTGAGGGAGGATTTTATCGGGAGGATCGTTCTGGATCTTTATTGGATTGAACACTCGAGCAATTACGTCAGGGTGGCTAGGTTCTGTAAGTAAATATGAGTTTTTTTCTTATCAGTAATTTGCCTTGGAAAGGTTATATGGTGGTCAGAAGTGCTGCCCAAGGAGGCATTTTTTGGGTGGATGATGATACTTGGAAAGTTGTCAACAAATTGACAACCTATTGAATTGGCGTCTCTTCATAACTAACAAAGAGACGGTGGATAATTTGTTTTAATCTATTGTCTGTTTGCCAGGGAGATGATTTTCTTTGTGGTTTGGGTTTTTCTTTAGTTGAAGGGTTGTTAGAGTGAGAACTGAGAAGGAGGGCATTCCCTACCATGCAGAAAATACTGCTTTAACTGTGTAGTGTTGCGATAGATTTGGAATTAAGTAATATTCATTTAAAGGAGTGGAGTGGTGGTGATTCTGAAGTAGTTGTCAAACTTTTGGGTTGCGAAGAGATATTGATTTGTATTATTTTTTGCGGATGGGGGGCTTAGTTTATATGCAGTAGTTTGAGTCGTTGAGACGCCTGCTACTCATAAAACATATTAAACTTTACCAAAGTGCCTCTAGCCCAATGGTATAACCTCCCCATCCTCAAAGAGGAGGGGAGGGGTTCGAGTGTGGGTGTGGGCAAAGTGTGTGTGAGTACTTATCTGGTAAATATATATATATATATATATAATGAACTTTGATTGAATTTGGTTTGCCCAAGTACACTATATAAATTAAAGATATTTGGAGAACACATGGAAACCAGATAAAACTCGAGGAAAGCCAATTGATAAAGCATATATATATATTTTTAATGCAATAATCATAAAAGGCACTCAAAAGGGGAGCGCTTCCAAGGGAATTACAAGCCGCCTACATCGACACTTCAACTTTAAGCTATCCACAAAATCCAAAAGACTATCCATAGATTTACAATTTCTCCTATTAACCCAAAAGAATAAAGAAGACAAGATATTGTATTTGAGAGACCAAATAGGAGACTCCTCCCCATCAAAGGATCTCCTATTTCTCTCATGCCACAATCCCCTCCAAAGACAGAGGAGTGGCCCTACAAGCATCTATAACTCAGCTCTTTACTATACACTCTACCTAAGCCTCTAACAAATCCAACGTAGACTCAGGAAGCACCCAAACCACACCAAAAGCAACCAATAAAATAGCCCAAATATCCCTCACCACAGGGCAGGGAAGCAGAAGGTGGTTCACAGATTCCCCCAACTTCTTACACATGCAACACTAGTTCGCCGCCACAACCTGGCGTCTCATTCTAAGGTTGTCGAGAGTGAGGATGCTTCCAAAAAGCTTATTTATCCACATTGTTCACCAAAAAGCTTGGCATACCAAAGAAGTACTCAAGATATGTTTAATGCTTGGCATAGAATCCATTTCAGGCCAAGTTTAGTAGAAATGACAACTAATATATACAGAATGTGGCACTACTCATCCTTAAGATACACAACTGGTAAGAAATGCGGGTATTTATTCGCAGAAAATACTTTTCAAAACAAGAAACAAGCTGAATAACTAAGTTGAAAGAGAAGTGACTAATGATAATCAGAATTATGAATTTGGATTGTACGATTATGTTATAACTGCAGACAAATGTTGAGAAAAAAGTCTTGAAGAATGGTTTATGGGGGTCAGTAGCTTGGTGTTGATACCCGTTGATAATAACAGCCTATTGTTGTTCACTTTTATTTATCGGGCATGATACATAGGACACAATAAGGTTTTCAACATATTGTTGAGAAAAAGTCAACAAATCCAAAGAAATTTTGCAAGAGTTAAAAATCTTTTAGTCTTAAACTATCTTTAATATAATAGTCTTGCCATGATACAGACAACACGACTGGATTCTCAAAATCAGAACGTTATGTTTGTGCCACTATTATTTTACCAACAGATTATTGACTTTAAAAAGGCATGAGAAAGTCTTTCGTGCTATCAGATGCTATTTGCTAATTATATTCGGTAACAGTTCTCCATATTTATTCTTGCTTTGTGTTGGGGAGTTACAGGATGGACAGTACCTTAGACCATCAGACCCAGCCTATGAGCAGGTACTGGATTCCTTGGCTATGGTGGCACGACACACGCCTGTACCTCTACTGGAAGCTCTTCTTAGATGGAGAGAGAGGTGGGTTACATCCATTTTGTTTTTGTTTCATTTAGTTTATCCATGAATGACTTTATAATTCTTGTTTGAAGATCAACTGTTCCTGATGCATGTGTTTTATATATGTGAATATTTATCATGACATCTTTAAAATAATCACAATGTTATGATCCATAGACACTCATCAATTATTAGCATGTTTTATACAATGGCTAGCTGTGCCTGATTCTAGTAGTGTGGCCTCTTACAAAAGTGTAAACCTCTTCTTCTCAAAGGTAAAGTCTTAATTTATTGTGCATTTTGTGATGGATCATTAACATAGTTCCGCTATTCATTTTGTGGTTGTTGATGATGCATGTGTGCCAAAGGGTAAATGCCTCTTTATAAAGGCTAGCTATGTAGTATAATCATAGACATGGAACATCAGCAAGAGCATTTGATGCAATGCAAAGTTTGTACCCTGAGACAACATATCTTTGATAAGTAGGAAACTGACACGAGAAGGATGTGGCCTCCCATATATATTACGCACCCACTTATACTACATGAGGCAAAAACAAAATTTTGATCAATTTTTATTTAATTTATTTCAACAACCTAATAACTTGGAATTGCTTTAAGAAAAAAAAAATGTAACTTGGAAGATGAAGCTCAACTAATATCATATGCATACTCCATACCACCTCCACCGCAATACTATTGCAGCATTGCTGCTCTCGTTCTATTTTTCACAACTTTGTTCTTTTCTTGTTTCAAATTTTGTCCACTACATGGCTGAGGTGCTTATCTATGATATGAATTCTTTTCAAAAAGGGCAAATTGCATAAACCCCCCTGGATATCCAATTTTTTCACAGTACACCCTTGACAAATTATTTAATCTAAAGCCCCTGGACTATCCAATTGTTGCAACATGTCCCCTATATCAAGTTAGCCGCTAGAATTTAACGCTAAAAAGTGCATCAGTTTCACGCGCCCATAAAGTAATATTATAAAGATAAAAAAGCCCCTTAATATAATTTTCTTAAAAGTTAGGTTTTCTTTAAAATGATTTACATTTTACGATTTCTTTTCCTTTTTTAATTTAAAAAAAAAAAAATTTAGGAAAGAATTGAAAATTGTTCCAAGGTATTTCATTTTCTTATATATGCATCTAATTGTTTTTTTTGTTAAAAAAAAAAAAATTACAAATATAATCCATTTAAATATATATTTTGGAAATAATTTTTAACAACACTATGCCCAATGCTTTATTTGTATTAATTTTAATATTATCATTGAAAAATAATTCTAAAAAATGACATAGTTTCGTCCATGGGTATTAAAGTCCTTTGCAAATTCCAATTCTATACCTTTTTTTTTTTTGGCATATTGCATGAAGTCCCCTAGACTTTATTTCAATGTCCGGGGTATTTTGGTACTTTCCATTCACCGTTAACAGCTCTTTGATGTTGGGGTAGTATTGCAACAATTGGATAGTTTTGAGGGATTTTAGGTCAAAGTTTTGGTCAAAGGGGATTGTGCAAAAATCAGATAGTCCATGGGGGTTTTATGCAATTTGCTCTTTTATAAATTTTATCAAGGTTGTGGCTTGCTTTCCACGTTTCCAGGAGATTTGTTGGAGCATTGTCCAGTTTGGACACGACCACAAGAAATATTCATGCTACTTTTTTTTTTTTTGAATGGAGGGTGGGGTGTGGCCCTGTGGGATGGGTTGGTAAATGCATTCCTATTTTAAAAGGACATTTTAGCGTTTGTCCCGTCAATTTTAGATGTTAGGAGTGATGGATTAGTTATATGGTCAAGCTCGAGAGAAACAAAATCGAGGACGACCTAAGAAATTGGTCCCAAATCGGGAAAGCATCCACTTGGGGCCTTGTATTACCAAGTAAGTCATTTTTGTTAATTTTAGGTCAAAATGCTGTTTGCCAGTTTCTATTATATTTTCATATGTTTTAGGAATTAAAGGTATTTTGATAATGTCGGAATTTGCTGACAATGGGAGCTAGTAGGGGTCAATGGGTATATTTTGGGTCAAGCTACGCTATTGGTTCTTTATTTTTAGATTTCAGTCGGTTTATATGACTTCTATTAGTCAAAGTCTCTAAGTTTCTAACTTACAAAAAAAAAAAAAAAAAAAAAAGCTTCTAAATGTGGTTCTATTAGAAAGAGTATGTTTTATTATTTTGTTGGATATGGAAACTGGTATGGTCAGTAGGTCGTATTTTGGGTCAAGCTATACTATTCGATCTTTATTTCTAGGCTTCAATAGGTGTGCATGAGTTCTATTAATCAAACTTTCCGTGTTTCTAAATATGAACCTATAGAAATAGGACTAGTTAAAAGTCAATATACATATCTATACATATATGCATATCTACGTGCTAATTTTAATTCAACAAAGCAAGTCTTAGAAGGAAAAAAATCAGCAATTGTGCTCTTCCGTGGATTGTGTGATGCAATTCAAAAACCGTATGCTGTTTAGGTTCTTCTTGTACTTTTATGCGTCCTTGTTTTTTCGTCCTTGTTTTTTCTGCACTTTTTAAAACTTTAAAAACCTAAAATGATATTAGAGTCGACCTATTTTTTATTTTAAAATCCTATTTCACAAGCTCCAACCTTTGTCCTTTAAACACTCAACCCAAGCACTCGAACATTACTGCATTATTCACAGGCTCACAACACAAGAAAAGTCCCAATTATCCATGTCTACTCGACATGAAACCACTTCTGATAATTTCCTGACTTTTTCCCTTGCCTCAGGCTTTGATTCATACACATGTTCAGAATTTCCTACAAAGTTATTATGCATTTCTGGTAATCAACAATCTAAAACATTTATTATCTACAAGCAAATGTACAAGTTTCTCAGACCTAAGCATTGTTTGGTTGGCCGTGGCATGTGTTTTTATATCTTTTTTTCCTGGGTGCAACAAGGAATCTGTGCTATTCAAGTTGCAAACAGCAAAGTTAATTCCAAAATTGTGCTACAAAGATTATATTCAAGTTTACAGATATTGCAGATAATGCCTTATTTGGTCTCTGTCATCCCTATTGTTGTGGACAAATGGCAAGGAACTTCTATTCAAAAGTATTTTTATTTTTCCTTTAGTAATAAAATGGAAGCTAGAAATTAGTCAGTTTAAGTTACAATCAAATGTTGTTTTGGAAATGAAATTTTTAGAAATAGCAGACAAATTAATGTCTTATTGGTCAGATCAACTGCATAAAATACAGTCCTGTGCTTAAGTTTTGTTTGCGGTGACTCTGAAGAAATATTAGAGGGGATTTAATTGTGGAACTTTCATGCACTTTTTTATTTATTTTTTATTATGATCATCTCATGAATTTATTAATCGAATATCAAGAATTATTTACTTTTTTATTTGCACGTAAGAGATTTTACATAAGAAAGGGCAGAAACATACCCATATTATATCACAGCAGCCGTCATCGTTAAATTGAGTTGGTGCTTTTCAATTATATGGTGCTTCTGGTTTTTGTTGCAGTGAGTCCCCAAAGGGTGCAAATGACGCATCTACCTTCCAGAGAAAGGTTTGTGACACATTGATTTTTTATTTTTTCTCTCTCTCTCTCTCTCAATCTTATTCCTGTTAGCAAACTCAATGGTTTCTCTATGTAGACAAGGAATATTCACACAGATTTAATCTGGTGTCTATTCATATTCTTACATCTTATATACAAATTTGCAAATTGTGCGAGTTAGATTCGATTAGATCTTCTTGTCGTCAATTTCAGTCGGTCAGTATATTCATGTAGAAGTTAAAACTTCAAATATAGATGAAATACTTTCTGTATGTGCAAAATTATGGTTTAATAAGGATAACACATTGAAGAATATGCTACATAAATTAGTAATATATAGATACAAAGAATGATGTAAAATGATAGGAATACAACAAAATAAAAAGTGTAGATAAAATAAATAACAAGTTTTCAGAATGATAAGAATATAAGAAAATTGGGAAATATTGTTGCATGTGCACTGTCTGGTATAGATATTATATTTTGCCGCCATATGCTTGTTTTTCAGCCACAAAATCTTCCATCCTTGGTCCACGTACTTCATCACTATATGTATCTTATTGAGGAAAAGCACAACGATATGTGATATATTCTTGAAACTAAAATAAAAGATAATTAATGTGAAATTTGATAATTATAACTGAATTCCACAAATGAATTATGAATATACACCTTAAACGAATAAGAATAGGGGTTGTATACATTATCTGCCTCATTACATATAAAAAGAGACTAAGTTCGCAACATAGGATTATATCATTTACAAGGTGGGGAAGTTATAACTGAATTCCACAAATGAATTATGAATATACACCTTAAATGAATAAGAATAGGGGTTGTATACATTATCTGCCTCATTACTTATAAAAAGAGACTAAGCTCGCAGCAAAGGACTATATTTGTTTACAAGGTGGGGGGAAGTTAAGGCTGAATTATGGAAAGTACTGGGAGAAGTACAAACGAGGAAGATCTGGTTACTTGGAAAACCTATTAGTGAAGGTCAAAAGCATGCATTGTACTACATATCACAATTATACGCACAACTGTTGTGAAAGTAGAGGAAACTGCCATGAGACGTGAACAAAATGAGAAATGTCATCGAGCCAGTAAAATATATGTGCTTACCACTCCAGCAAGGTTTTAGAACTTGACACATCTCATCGAGGTCAAGACTGCGTCAGGTATTGATCTCATTCGGAATAAGAATCCTGTTGTCTCGGCTTGACGTTGCCGAGAGTCCGAGACGACTGTGATTTTGGCCTAGTCTAAAAATCCCATTTTCAGCTTTCTTTGCTCAATTTTGTTCAAATCTTAAGACCAAAATAAGGAAAAACCAAACCCCCACCCTACCATAATAAAAAAATTTACGAATCAAGAACAAAAAACTTGAGAATTTTCAGTAGATTTACCATTTACATTCTAAGTGCACCAAACTCGGGATTAATCAGCAATTTTTTAAACTTTTTTTTTTTTTTTGATAAGTAAAAATATATTAGAAAGCGTTCAAAAGGGGAACGCATCCCAAGAGCTGTACAAGAACCAAGAGCAAAACAGAAAGCCTAAGGATCCAAAGACCCCAAAAAGTCCAAAAACTCCTCAGCGGAAGAACAATCTCTCCCCATGCCCCAACTAAAAGAGAACAAATAATAGAATATTTAAGAGCCCCAATGGGTAACTCCTCCCCAACAAAGGATCTTCTATTGCGTTCTTTTCATAGACCCCACCAAATGCAGAGGGGAGTCGCCCTCCAGAAGTCGCGAACTCGAGCCCCCACCCTCTGTCTCCTCCAAATATCGATAAGACCCCGTGAGGTCTGAGGCATAACCTGCAATTTTTTAAACTTTTAGTAACAATACATGTGTATAATAAGAGCATACTTCATTTTAATATATTTTGCATATATTAATATATATTATATATATTTGTTTTTTTTTTTTTTTTGATAAGTAAGAAATTTTTTATAAAAGCGCTCAAAAGGGGAGCGAAACCCTGAAAATATACACAAGGCCACAAAGGACCTTTAGGCCTTCAAAGAAGCCAAAAAATCAACAATTTCGTCTAAAGATCTATGATCTCTCCCATAAACCCAACAAAAAATAGTGGAAATGATAGAGAATTTAAGAGTAGAAATCGACAACTCCTTCCCATCGAAATATCTTCTATTCCTCTCGAGCCAAATACACCACCACACACAAAGAGGCGTAGCCCTCTAAGCATCCACAATGTGAGCCCCCACATGGCAACCTCTCCAAGCCTCAATCAACTCTCTAACGGATCCAAGCATAACCCAAAGAATCCCAAACAAGCCAAACATCAAATTCCAACAGTCCTAACCATGTTGCAATGGAGGAGAAGGTGATCCAGAGATTCCTCATCCCGAAGACACATATAGCAGCGATTGACCACCACCTTATTTCTCCTTCTCAAATTATCCTGGGTTAAAATCCGTCCTAGAACAGAGGTCCAAACAAAAAAACCCACCTTGAGAGGAGCCTTAGAGTGCCAAACAACCTTCCAAGGGGAGCGAGCTCTGTGATCATCTGTGAGGCATCTGAAAAAGGATCTAACCTCAAAATGCCCATAAGAGGTGGCAGCCCAAGACCAACAATCAGAAATCCCATCCACAATCCTTTGGCGATACAACAACTCCAGAAAACGAATGGCCTCCTCAATCTCCCAATCCTGAAACAACTGCCTGAATCGAACATCCCAAACCAGAGACCCACTGTCAAGATGATAGCAGTTAACCACCATGGCCTGCTTATCCGTAGCAATCCTGAAAAGATGAGGAAAAGAGGTGGCGAGAGGAGATTCCCCACACCAAACATCCTCCCAAAAGCTGATCCTCGTGCCATCCCTGATTCGAAAACGAACGTGTTTGGAATACTCATCCCAACACTTCCGAATGACTTTCCAAACCCCCACACCTCGAGGGCTACGCACCTCCAAAGAACACCACCCTCCTCTAGACTCCCCAAAACGACAAGCAACGACCCTCCTCCAAAGCCAATGCCTCTCCACACCAAATCTCCACAACCATTTCCCAAGGAGAGCCTTATTAAAAGGCACCAGTCTTCTAAGACCCAAACCTCCGTAACGAATTGGCCTGCACACTTGATCCCAACAAACCAGATGGAACTTAAACTCTTCACCTCTCCCCCCCAACAGAAAATTACGCTGCAATCTCTCAATCCTCTCCGCAACTGAAGAGGGAATCTGAAACAGAGAGATAAAATAAGTAGGAAGACAAGAAAGGGTGCTCTTAATCAGAGTGACCCTACCTCCCTTGGAGAGATACTGCTTCTTCCAACCCGCCAACCTCTTCTCAAACCTATCCACCACAGGGTCCCAATCCCCAACACATCTAGATGAGGCCCCCAAAGGCTTCCTTAAGTAAGAGATGGGAAAGGAACCAGTACGACAGCCAAGACTATCAGCCAAAAACCCAATCTCAGGGACCTCTCCCACCGGCACCGAAACGCTTTTGCCCACATTCACCTTAAGGCCAGAAACAACTTGGAATCAAATCAGGACACACCTCAAATATCTAAGCTGGGACACATTCGTATCACAAAGAACCAAAGTGTCATCGGCAAACATTACATGGGAGACCTCCAATTGGGGAGCAGCATCCTTGCCCACTTAAAAGCCTCTCAGAAACCCTAACTCAATAGCCTTACTTATCAATCTGCTGAGGGCCTCCATCACAAACAGGAACAAGAAAGGGGAAAGCGGATCCCCTTGTCTTAAACCCTTCGAGCTAGAGAAAAAATCGGTAGGAGCACCATTCACAAGAATCGAGAAACGAGCACTGGAAATACAAAAATGAATCCATCTCCTCCACTGATCACCAAACCCCATCCTCTTCATCAGGTAAAGAAGGAAGTTCCAATTCACATGGTTGTAAGCCTTCTCCAGGTCAAGCTTACACAAAACTCCCAGGACCCCACTGCGTAATTGGGAGTCCACACATTCACTAGCAATAAGAACTGAGTCCAAAATCTGACGACCTCCCACAAAAGCATTATGAGAATCAGAAATGACACCATCCAGGACTTTCCGCAACTTAGAAGGAAGAACCTTGGCAATCAACTTGTAGAAACACCCCACCAGGCTAATAGGGCGAAAATCCCTAATATCCATCGCCCCTCCTTTCTTTGGAATGAGAGAAATGAAAGTGGCATTCAAACTCTTCTCAAACGAACCCTGAGCATGGAAAGCATGAAATGAACCCATCACCTCCCCTCAAACCACCTCCCAGCACTCCAAAAGAAATCTCATGGTAAAACCGTCGGGACCTGGGGCTTTATCCCCGTTACAACTCTTCAAAGCAGAAAGAACTTCCTCTTCAGAGAAAGGCTCCTCAAGACCTAAGCACTCCTCACTAGAAATAGAGGCAAACTGAAGCCCCTCAAACAAGGGTCTCCACTCAACAGTCTCAGTGAATAACTTCTCGTAGAACTCTGAGATGCCCTTGCAAATATCCTCCTCCTTGCATAGAAGCTCCATTTCCACCTGAATCCTCCCAATATGGTTGCCCCTTTTATGAGCATTGGCCAATCTGTGAAAAAATTTCCCCCTCCTTGAGCCACAAAGCTCTAGACTTTTGTCTCCACGAGATCTCCTCAATGATCGCAATCTTAACAAACTTCGCCTTACACTCCGCCCTCCTAACTTTCAAAGCATCAGCCAAATCCCCTTGACCCTCCATCCTATCAATATCAGTGATCTCAGCCAGAACCCAATTTTTCCTACACACAAGATTCCCAAAGACTTCTTTGTTCCAAATCTTAATACTTCCCTTCAAACGACGCAAATGACCTACCAGCAAATGACTTGGGGTGCTAATCACCCCAAACCCCGCCCACCAAGATCGGACCCTTTCCAGAAAACTCTCATCCCGAAGCCACATATTCTCAAAACGAAATGGAGAGCGATTACTCCGCAACCCGCCACAATCCAGCATCAACGGGACATGGTCAGAGATAGGACGGGCCAAAGTAGCTTGC